TGATGTTAGGTCTAATTTCACCCAGTTCCTGTACTCTGGGTGTATATGGCTACTCAATTCCTAATTCTAATTTTATTTAAGTTTTAGAGGAAGTGGAGACAGAGGCTGTGTTAGCTGTAAGTGAATTCGTTGCCCCATCTTTTATTCTTGTAGCCTCTAGGTAGCTCCTCTAACAATAGCATGGTCCTAAGGCCATCACCATTCTTATTTCTGTTACAAAATCCACATAACTACATAACTGAGAGATGATTTTACCTTCACATATATGTAGCATTCCCACTATCTGCTTTTCTCTCCTTTTCTCACAGATAAACCAGAGATATATGATGAGATAAAGTCAGAGAGGATGGAGAGAAAAAAAGGAAAAGTTTAGGCAAAGAGACAAGGTTCAACTATATAATCTGTTCTAAAAAGTAGAGAGAAGACAAGTGGCAACAACTAAGGATTAAGAAACATTTATGTTTGGATGAAGATTCAAAACATTTCCAGTGTGAAAAATTTGAAAGGTTATAAAAGAGATTTATGAAGAACTTGCTTTGAGTTATCAATTTGACCATCTTTTTAATGATTTGTGAAGTCTTCAATTCAATATTAAAGTTCCCTTTAATTCATAGTCATATATAATTGGTGCTTCCTTGAATGACGTTCTGTGTATTTTGTAGAACAAAAGAGGTTATTTATAGTCTTCTAAATTCATGATGTTCAAATCTAAACACAATCCTGTCAGTGTGAAAATTTTAAACATTTTATCATGGAAAGAAGGGCCACATCCTCTTTTAAAAATGCAGGAAAGACCAAAGGAAATTAGATTTTTTTACGTGAGGACAAAGACAGATTCAAATTAAGATAGTTGAGGTAAATTTTATGCCTAAAAATCAATGATTTATAATAAAAGAAAATTAGTTTTCCTATTTTTAAACATTGTTTTCTGCATTTTAAAAAAATGTCCATTCATTTGGTGTTCATCCCTTGAGCCGTATGGTTATCTCCCAAACATACATGCTTTCAATGGGCATTTCCTTTTCTCAGCAGATGTCCAATAGTTTAAATGCCACATAATTGATGTTATATGTCAAATCATGGTTTTGTTTGGCAAGCCAACTGGAGTATCACTGAGCTACACAGCAGCCTCAAATCAACTTTTTTATGCAACTCATTTGAATTCCCTCTTCCTCACATAAATCCTAAAATACAGATGTGTAAAACAAAAAGGCAAATCTGGTTTTCTTTGGTTGCTTTCTGATCACCTTCAGAGATCCCTGCCCCACCCCTGCTGCCATTGATCATCTACAGTGAATTAATAAAATCGAGTAGGCTAAAGACAGAGATGTTTAGTGTTCTTGACCAGGTTTAGGGTCATAATGAAACTATACAACATTTGTTCACGTGTGGTAAAAATAGAGAAAAATGACACCCATCAACTCTACCATCAGATAAGTCAGAGAAAAGAGAAAAACAATGGCTCAAGAGATGCTTCTGAATGGAGACAATTTCAGGCAAGCAGTTGGCATGGAGTCTGGAGTTTGAGAAGATTTTCATCCCCTAATGCCTTCTCTTGTTTACTTTCTGGTCTGGATATTCCATTGTAAGTAGGTTGTTATGCTATATGATTGCTGTTCTATTTATCCATTGTCTCTTCTATAATTTAGAAACTCATAATTAGCTTCTGGGGGCCTAGGTTTTGCCTCTTGAAGACAAATACAGACTTAAGAGAGTTTAGGTAAATTTTATGCGCAAAAATCAATGGTTTCTTTTGAGAAGAAGAGCGTGACACTTTATGTGTCTAAGAGAGCCAATAACAATATCTGTATATATATATATATATATATTTATTTATTTGAGAGACTTTATACACTTAGACAATACATCAGACAGCCTCAACATTTGGGACTCTTCAAATGTTCAAGCGTCCTGGTGGTGATTCGGAAACTCTCTAGAATCCCGCCCCTTTCAATTTCTCTCCAATACATTGCACTGTGAAGGATCAGAGTCAATCATTTCAACCCAATGATGTTTAAATTATCATTAGAGAAGTGATGTCTGAGAACATTTAGTTTACCCTAAGAAATTACTATCATCTTCATAGTTAGTAAAAATAAATAAATATTTTTGCAGTTTCAGAGGCTAGGAATTCCAAGATTATAGGGTAGGCTGTCATGGTGTATGGTAAGGGCTTGCTGAATCCTAAACAAGATCTGCTGTGTCAACACATGGTATGGAACCTATTTCTGCCTTGTCTTCCCAACGTTTTCCGATATCTCCTACCTTACCTTGAAGAGCTGGACTTGGAGAGCTGGACATACGAAGTGGGGGTATACACCATCAGATGAAATAGCTATCAGTGTACAGCTATGCTACACTTCCATAAGATGTGCTTAGATAAATATATATTTTAATTTCCCAAGTGCCCAGTACTATCTTCTTTCACTTAAATTTTTTAACCTGCCGCATACAGCGTCTCCCATCTGTGCTCTATGAGCTATAATTCAGTTCGCTAGCTTCGGGTAAGGGGCTGGAGATTGAGGAAACACACGCAGAGACAGACCAACACAAGGACCTCCAATCATTGGTACAAAAGCCATTCTTTAATAGCACCATGGAGGCTTAAATACCCTGTAGTCAATGCCCAACAGGTGAAAATCCCATCTTCTGATCCTCTAGGCAAAGCACAGGTTTAGTAACTCCAATTAGGTAGTTCTAGCAGGGAAGAGCAGCTGAAGGCCAGGACTCAATTATTCCCAACATCAACCCTTAATGCTTTCGATTATAAGAGGATATAATATTATTTTTTCCATTATTTAAAAGGGGTAGTCTGTCTCCACAGAAAATCCAGTCTTGATGCATTTCTACGCTCCTGAGCAGTGTCTGTGGATATGGAATGTATCTGGCAGCTCTTGAAGCTGGCCAATCTCCTTTCCCAAGCCAACGGTGGAGATTCACTTGCTTCACTAAAACAGACTGAACAAAAGGGAACGTTTTCACTTAAATTCTTGGTTATGTTCATACTTTGAGGCCCTTTAGTAAAGGGCTTCTGGTCCAAGGGCTTTTGGTATATACTAGCTTATGCTGGTATACATGAAAACAAGACATACACAGATGCCTATATACCTCACAAAGAGGAATAGGTACTTATTTTTATTCCTTAATATTTCCTCTCTTCTTATGTCCTCAGACTTATTATTCCTTCATGCTTTCTTAGCTAGAGAAGAATGATTCTCAACCTCTATTAGCATTCATCTGTATTCTACCAATCTGCAGTCTCCTTGCTTCTTGTTAGTTCTCACAGTACCAAGAAAGAGGGATGTCAACACACACAGGCCCAGCCATGCTGATTTCAGAGACTGGAAACCTGGCACCCAAGTTTCTTTCCTTCTGTTTTTCCTACACCTTGCTGTTACCTCTCCTTTCTTTAGCAAAAACAAAACTTTTATTTATTTCATCCACTATAGTCACAGTTACCAAAGTTTTCTGTCAAGAAAGCAACGCGCATGCAGCATCCATAATAAGGTATCACAAATGGATGGACAGTCCCGAGTTTTGTCTATTTTCACATGGAAGAAATATATTATCACATAAGGAATGCATCTCAAGGTGAAAAAAGATAAAGCGGGGCCAGGAGAGAAGTTTCCTTTAGACAGTGAAGTCGCTGCTTGTCTGCAGTACAGTGTGAATGGCAAATGTAATACAGCAACGTGATGAGTAGTGACTGGCACTCGTGCGTTTGTATGACCTAATGAAATGACTTGTAAATATATTGTCTCTCTTAATTTATGTGAACCTTTTATTCTTTTCATTTCTCAACTGAGCAAATCAGGGATTGCAGGTGTTAAATTGTTCAAAGACCGATAAAGAGTACATCAGCAAATAGACTTCAAATCCAAGCACAGTCTGGGATCCCAACTCTCTACTGCCTTGCAGTACTGCAATTAGATATATTGATGACTAAGGTGATTGAGATAAATTTTTTTATCAAATTAAATTGAATGAATAGATTGATATGGGAGTCCCTTCTTAATTCTGACAGTTCTTAGCTAACACACCTCTGATGGCAAGATTTCTACTAAATGCTACAAGATGTTATGTGTGAAGGAGTAAGGGAATCAAATGTAGTAATGAGATCTATAAATGCTTTAATGTTTAGTCAAATAAAGTAATAGCAAAATTTCTTAATTAAAATAGCACTATATCTCTCCATTTAAAATTAGCCTATAACTACTCTAGTATTAGTCTCTACTCACCTTTGCTTAATAGACAGTTATTAGTGTCTGACTCCCATAGAGAGTGTGCAATCTACTGGTACCATACTTACATATAAATAAATATTTGTTATGTTTGTACATATTAGAATTTTATGGAAATATAGTTTGTCTTGTCAATTGGTAATTTATCCTGATATACAAGCACAAATACACAATAGCAAAAAATAAGCCATAGATGATATTAAATATGTATAAAATACTTCATTAATTTAAATAAAATAGTTATTATCATATAAAGGAGTTAAAATTATTTGAGAGTAGACATATGAACACAGATAAACAATGTTGAAGACATCATACTTACCTGTCAGCTATAACAAAATCAAGGATCCATTATAGTAGGTAAGGGTTCTTTTATTGAGTTATCAGGCAATGTTAGAAAAGGGAGGACCAATAAAGTTTGGATAGAAGGAATTACAGTGATGTAGTCCTGTATGCACTGTGCATTCAATGAATATCATTAATAAATGCATATAAAAGATGGACAAATAAATACAACCAAGCAAGTGGAAAACATTGAATATTTCTATCGATACAATATTGGCAAATTTTTATTCAGCTAATATATTCAATTATAGTGCTATGCTTTGTTAAAATTTATGTTGTAATTTCTATACAGTGTGGGGAAAATAAAAACATAGTATCCTCTGTTATCCATGAAGAGATGAAGGTATTTAGCTTTGCTACTTGTACACTTTGTTTTATATTGACATGTGCTCAGACATTCTGGAAAGTACCAACCTTGAATGCTGCATTTTTCTTCTTTGACTTCATCTAGAAAATGAAAAAGGAAAGAAAAATATTAAAGTTAGAGACAATTGAAGCCATAGACATACTAAAAAAAGGCCATCTTTAAAATAATTTAGTTAGGGGCTGGAGAGATGGCTCAGTGGTTAAGAGCATTGCCTGCTCTTCCAAAGGTCCTGAGTTCAATTCCCAGCAACCACATGGTGGCTCACAACCATCTGTAAAGACGTCTGGCGCCCTCAACTGGCCTTCAGGCATACAGACAGAATATTGTATACATAATAAATAAATAAATATTTAAAAAAATAAAATAAAATAAAATAATTAGTTAAGTTTCCCCATTTTACTTAGCATGAAGACAAACATTTAGTTGTGGAGAAAAAAACCACTGGTAAAACTTTCTACTCTAATGATGGGCCTTTACTATTTTGGTAGTTTGCTTCTGTATAATGTCTTAGTGGCATAGCAATTAAGGGAATGGTTAACAAAAATGACAAAACAAAACTTTATAAAAAGGAAAATTATACAGACAATGCTTAGTCAATTCATGTAAGTATGTCATCATGATACATTTTTCCATAAATCAGGGAAACATTATTTTTGAAGGACATTGCAATAAGCTCTGTTGAATGCTGATCAGAACCACAGACTTCCCATCTTCCTCTTCACTCCGCTAGTAGTATGGTCTCCCCTATGGACCAAGTGATTATTATGTTGTTTGTAATAACTGTTCTGCATTCCTTATGGAAATTATAATTATGATGGTGAATATTCAAACTGCAAGCCACGTTTCTCAGGGAAATTGTAATTAAGATAATGCAGCATTTCCCGAACTAATGTTTTCAAGTTGTTGTTCTCTTTGAGAAACAGGAAGTGAGAAGAAAACACTGAAATCAAACACCCTTTTGGGATCTCAGACGTGTCTTTAGGCCGAGAAGAGACGCTGTTATTTGTAACGTGTCACTACCAGGTTCACATGTGTCACTCACACAGCACACATGCATTTCATAGGGAAATATCTAAATTACATAGGTTTCTTATTTTTTTTTTATTTTTTTATTTTTTTGGTTTTTCGAGACAGGGTTTCTCTGTAGCTTTGGTGCCTGTCCCGGAACTAGCTCTTGTAAACCAGGCTGGCCTCTAACTCCCAGAGTTCCGCCTGCCTCTGCCTCCCAAATGCTGGGATTAAAGGCGTGCACCACCACTGCCCGGCTCATAGGTTTCTTATTTAACTCACTCAACCATCTTATGACGTAAGTAGAATTCTGACTTTATAAATAAAAGACTTGAGTCTTTTTTTCAACACCATGATCTGAAGTCTGACACATTAATACACATAACATCACCTTACTACTGTCCAAAATTAGTTTTTATATATGTGTAATAACTTATTTTGCATACAAATAATTTTGTGAAATAGATGTCAATACGTAAGCTTATCTTAATAGATATAGAAGTGAATTTCATTCCCATATTAAGAATATTAGTGCAGGAAATGCTTAAATTTGCCAAGTTATCATGTGTTCTTTTATAGCTTGGCACATTGTGTAGATTTAATTAAAAAATAAAAGCCAAACAACAACAACAACAACCTAGAGTAAAATTAAAAGGGAACTAAGAAACAAAAGGAACACAAAATAAGAAATAAAATAAAGAAGACTGGAATACATAAATTAGTGTGTTTTCAGAATTTACTCTTGTTACTGTCTTAAATCATGCACAATCTTAGAACGTCCAAGATCTACTCGTTTTTCAGCTTTATTATATTTCAACTATCTTTTCAAGAAGTCGCATCTGTTTCCCATGTCATTTATTTTTATCCTTTTAAGACATCTTCTCCATTCCTCAGTAGCTCTCATCTGTTCCATGAGGACCATTTAATGATTTGCCCCAATTTCTCACACATGAGAAAGTAGATGAGCGATCCAATTTAACAGTCACAGGAAGCAGTATTGATCCTCAATTTTAGCAAGATCCTTCAGAACAACCAACCAACCATTTGTCTGATTAGTATTTCAATTACTTTCAACTGAGAAAGAAAAATAACTACATTTGTCTAGACCCAAAACTAATTCCCTAAGACAGTTGGTGAGCCTGTTTTAGACAAGGTCTTGAACTCCCTGTTTTAGCCAAGGTTGGCCTTGAACTACCAATCTCCCAGTATTGTCCTCTGGGGAGAGGTGATGGCTGGTATGTGTCACTATGCCTGGCTGGCATTCAGCATTGTTTAGAACTATAGTTCTCATGTTTATGACATCAATACATAAAGGCACATATTGGTATTGAAGGCAAATGAAATTTTTGAGGTGAACTGAGGTACAGCAGAGGCTAGATAATCATTTTATGTACTCAGCTCAGTACATATGGCATGAACCAGGAGATGCTACCCCGATTAAGTAACAACAGGACAGTCTTCTAAAGATATGATTGAGGGTGAAAGTATAACTACATGTTGAAGCACTTGCCTAAATGTGAGTGACCCTAGGTTCAATCCCTGCTCCTCCCAAACAATGGTACAGAAGAAGTGTCTCAAAATTGTGAGATACTACTGTAAGGATGTATTTAAATACTTAAAAATCAATGACTCTTTCCCCCTCTACATCTTCAAAGGATAGGCTGTGTGTATCTGGGAATATAGGCAGGGAAATCTGGGTAGTTAAAATACCATTATTCCTGTTGGCTAAGAAAGGAAATTGTTTTCCATTCCTACAAACTGGGCTCTGTGCCTGGAACTACCCTTGTTTGCAAAGGGGAGTTGCTTCCATGTGGTGACAGAATAGGAGGTTCATTAATCATAAGTTATTGTAGATTTCAAAGAACAATTGTAACTATTTGGATACCCATGGCAAACCACTGGGAATAGAGGCAGAAGCTGCTAAACCATCAAGGGCAAAAACGGGGCTATAGCCACAGAGAGGACAGGAGATGCCTGGCATTGAGGTAAGCCACCTGTGTTTTTTAAACTTTCCCAGCTTATTTTTAATAAGCTATAGTAAAATACAGTAGCCAGTGTATGTAATGGTGAGAAGGGTTTTAGACTTTTTGCTGGTGTCACTTCACAAGGTGAACCACCGCAGTCAGTGGAGATGCTGGCTGAACACAATGAATTCTAGCATGGACGGTAGAGGAAAGATGATAAGACAATACAGGAATCAGCTGCAGTCTTGAGATAATCCCAGAGATAGAGACTGCTTCCTACTAATCTTCCTCATGAGTAGGCACAAGATGGGATCCCAGCTCTAAGAAGAGAAGTAAACACACCCCACTTCCCTAATGCCTACCTATCTCCAAGAGATGACTACTTGCAAAGGAAAAATTAGTTTTATCCTAGTGAGTTTTACCATAGAGCAGTAGATGTCCATCACAAAATGAACTCAATGGTATCTTTGAAGGCTGTCTCTTAATGTTTACCAGGGCATTTTTTGTTGTTGCTGTTGCTACTGATGTTGTTGTTTTATCCTTACAGGTCATTTGCATATATAGTATTGCTTCCAGTTTTGTGGATTTTATGGGAATCCTGGATGTGCTGATGTGTAGCTCTCTTTGCTTCTGTATATGTTTCTTGTGCTTTTTCCTGGCTCCTTCTCTTCTCTTTCTTTTGTCTTATTCAAATTTATTTTTGTTTTATCTTATTCTATTATTATTCAGGAGATTCCTCTTTGTTTTCTAAGAGGAGACAAGGACGTGGCTGCACATGGAGGTGTGGTCAGGAGAACCTCAGGGGATCTTGGGAAGAAGAGATGTCACCAGAATATATTGTATATAAAAATATCTATTGTCAATATGAGAAAAGTAAGAATTCAAAAGAGAAAAGAAAAAATTCTACTCTCAATGTGAGAAAAATAAGAATTCAAAAGAGATAAGAGAAAGATATGCTTACTCATTGTGGTGGCCCCAGGAAAGATGGGCTTCAGGAAAGGTGGCTTTCTAGGATTTGGTATAAGTTATTGTCACATACTACCAACAGATACAAAGCTGTAGATGCTGCAGGCTGTCGTTGTGCTTTTTTTTTTTTTTTGAGACCAGTACTCATGCCCTCAGCTGCCCCAGGGAGTGACTGATGTTCAATTTTAACTTCTTCTTCCCAGACTGTTTTTCCCTCTGCCAGAGGGAGTGAATGGTGACCGAGATTTTTCTCCTCCTAAAGACAGCTCCCATGGAACTACTCCTCCTTTGTTTTATTTGAGACACCTACATAGGAGCCTCATAGTGCATAGATCCTGTGTGCATAGTACAATAAACTGCCTGCAATATTATTTCTACTTCAGAAATTGTTAGGGAAATTTATCTAAATCAAGATTACAGAATTCAGGAGACATAGATCTAAGAGTGGAACATGGCTGTGTGTGGCTCCAAAGACCATATCCTTCCAATTATAGCTCCCCATATCCATTTTAGAAAAGCTTAAACTAGTTTGCAATGCATTTTATCTATGCAGTAGGTATAAACAATGATGATATACTTAAGACTGTAAATAAAGAGGCATTATTCAAAGCTATGTAATACTGGCAAGTATGTTGTTAGAAGATCAACCTAATTTATATATGACTATTAAATAAGAGGCATTTACTGAGATAAATTGGTAATTATATAACTATACTGATTTATAATAGCTTATTAAAACATAATGTATACATGAATCTGCACATGTAAGTATGCATGTATTACTATATATCTTACAAAATGTATCTCAAGACTAATGGAAGATTCTTATGACCAAAATTCCTAATTATGTGAGCCTGTTTTAAAAAGCCATATGATAACTTTTAGCAGCTTAATTTTTCTGGTGCAAAAAGATTCAAGACTTCTCTGTTCCAGGAACTTGACAGATTAGTTATGGGGCAAGGTCTTACATTTTATGCTATAAATGCAAGGGTTTTATCAGGCATGAAATTTAGTCAGAACAGTTTATAGCTCGGTAAAACATTACTCGAGGCAGCTTTTACAATCAGAACACAAGGGTTACCTAATTCTAATGCATTTTTTTCCGAAAGTGTGGTTAGGATTTTCTAAGCACTGACCAATAC